AATGGCTATGGCTACAGCAACACTATGACAGACCCTCCACCTAGAGATCCATTCCCTTCCTCCCTTATATTTTACAACTGTAAGCAAAATGCTTCTGTCAAATTACTACTGAATTCCACTAGTTTCAGCTAATACTGATAAGAGTACCTGGATGCTTGCAGTAAACTTTTCCAGTGTATTCCTCATTTCTCGTTGACTATGCTTTAATTTAACTACTGCTTCTTCCAGTTGTACTTTCTGTTCCTGGATTTGTACTGCTTTTTGAGAGTCTCTCTGCAACTGTGATTCCATTTTATTTACCTACAAAGAGTACCAGTGAAATAAGTTTTCTACAAGAGTTGTTTCAGATTAACAACTAAGTCTACACAAGACACCTATGCAAATACTTAAGTGAAAGGATATAAACTATTGAAAATACGGAAATACTGGGGGGGTGGAGGGGAAGGAAAGCATAACTCATTGGAAAAAGTCAGGTATCCAGGACAACTGTTTATAAGGAAGAAAAAAGTACATCTAGATTCTGAGGGTATAAATAGAACATGGCAGTTTTTCCCAGACATTTTGACATTTTCGTATACTTATGGGCATATAAAATATTTTGAAATAAAATTTGGAAATATGGTCAGAAGTCTCTACTATACTTATACCTTAAAGAATTATTTTGAAATAGAAAAAACTATGTAATGCAGTAATGATTATGTGAAAAAACAAGTTAAATGGTTAAATAAATTATGAAATAGCCGTATGATTCAAATGTAATAGAAAAATATGTTGAGCATATATATTTTCTAATTAATGTTTTATTTTTAGAACTTTAAAGGGCTTTACATAAAATCCTACATCTAATTATAGAACATTCAATCTGTCAAAATGTGAACACTACCTAAAATGGTTGAATTTTATAGTATGTATGCTACACATCAATAAAACTTTTTTTAAAAAGGTATGACTATAAAATGTGCTAACCTCTTCTTCAGAGACTTCAACAACTGATGAACCCATTCTTCCTTTCATTACTTTGCTTCCACCACCAGTCATTGTACCTGAGAACAGAGGACGGAAGTCAGACTGAGATGTCTTCCCCCAGACTGAATAAAAATACACTCAGTAATAGGAATATAACCACCATTACCTGACTGTTCTATGATTTGCCCCTGTAACGTCACCACTCTCCATCTTCTGTCTTTTTGATATGCTACTCTTGTGGCTTGATCTAAGTTGTCAGCTACTAGGGTATCCCGTAAAGCAAAGTAAAAAGCTTGGCGGATTTCCTCATCTTTTACTTTTACTAAATCAAATAACCGAGGAGTATTTTCAGGAGTTTGAATTTTGGTCATTTTTTTTGCCCATACTGCCATCTAAAAGTAAAATATTAAGTATATATACATTAAAATAAAGGATAAATCATTTTAAGGTCGTAAGTTATATGCATGTATAAAATGCAAGGACTTATATACAAAGTTCTGAGTGTCTGTATTAATCGAGTAGAGTGGTTCCCCCCATATCTGCAGGGGACATAGTCTAAGACCTCCCCAGAGGATGCCTGAAACTGCGGACAGCATGAACCCTATTAGTACTATGTTTTCCTCTATACATACATATCTCTAATAAAATTTAATTTATAAATTAAGCACAGTAACAGATTAACAATAAAATAGAACTATTATAATTACACTATAACAAAAGTTATGTAAATGTGATCTCTCTCTGATAAAGGTTCTACTAAGTGACTAACAGGCAATTAGCATATATAGTGTGGGCACCCTAGACTAGTGGTCGGCAAACTCATAGTCAACAGAGCCAAATAGCAATTGTACAACGACTGAAATTTCTTTTGAGAGCCACATTTTTTAAACTTAAACTATATAGGTAGGTACATTGTTATTAACCTAATTAGGGTACTCCTAAGCTGGCCTTTGCTAAAAACGTTCTCAATCTGATTGAGGTACATTTGCGGAGGGCGACCCCTTCCAACTCTCCCATCCACACTCGTCTTGTATACTTGTTTCGTCTATCTCCTTTCATTCATCCTCTCTATATGTCCAAACCATCTCAGCATTACCTTTCTCAATCGTCAACACTACATCTTCTTTCACTCGACGTTCCCTAAACTTAATAACCTTTACTTAAAGTTTTAAGTCAACTTCGCACTGCACGTGCACGCCCCCACGTGGTACTTTGTGGAAGAGCCACATTCAAGGGACCAAAGAGCCGCATGTGGCTCGTGAGCCACGGTTTGCCGACCACTGCCCTAGACAAAGGGAAAAATCTATGTCTGGGAAGACAGAGTGAGATTTCATCACACTACTCAGAATAGTGTAAAATTTAAAACTTATGAATTGCTTACTTCTGGATTTTTTCATTTAATATTTTCAGACTGATCTACAATGGGTAGCTTAAATCACAGAAAGTGAAGCTGCAGATAAGGGGGGAGGGACTACTATATTCATTGTTATTTTAAAAAAAGGGGTAATTATAAAACTTGATTCAAAGATGACATGATTTAACATACATAAAATCCTAAAGAATCCTGCCACAAAACTATTAAAACTGATGATGAATCCAGCAAAATTGTAGGATATAGGATCGACATACAGAAATTAATTAATTGTACTTCTATATACTAGTATTGAAAATGAAATATTAAGCCCTAGTTGGTTTGATTCCAGTTAAGGTCACATGCCCAGGTTGTGGTCTTGATCCCCAGTTGGGGGTGTGCAGGAGGCAGCCAATTAATGATTCTCTTTCATCACTGTTTCTCTCTCCCTGCCTCTCTGAAATCAATTAAAAAATTAAAATGAAATTAAGAAAACTCAATTTATATAAAAAGAAAAATCCCCCAAACTTATGTTTAATCAAAGAAACACAAGACCTATTTACTGCAGGCTATGAAAGATTATGGTATGAAATTAGACCTACATAAATGGAAGACATTCCAGGTTCATGGACTGTAACATTTAATATTATTAAGATGAGAATACTATCCAAATTGATCTTCAGACTCAATGCAATTGATATCAAAATTCCAGCTGCTTATCAAGGTCTGTAAGTTATATAAATCACTCTAAGTTACATGTTTAATCATTATGTTTTATACCTGAAACTAATGATATAGTATGTCAAATGTAATTAAAAAATAAAATTAATAAAATTCCAATTGCCTGTGTATTGGGGGCAGAAAGTGACCAGCTAATCTGAATACTGATATGAAAATTATAGGGACTCAGAATAGCTCAAACAATCTTGATATAAAAGAACCAAATTAGAGCCCTGGCCAGGTAGCTCAGTTCATTAGACCACTCTCCCGCTATGCCAAAGTTGTCGGTCTGATCCCCAGCCAGGGCACTATAGAAAGCAACCGGTGGGTGCATGGATGCATAGAACAACAAATCAATGTTTCTTTCTCTCAAATCAATAAAATAAAATAAAAAGAGGACTCCTGATTTCGAAACTTATCACAAAGCTACAGTAATCATGACAGTATGGTACCAGTACAAAGATAGATAAATGTAGAGTCCAGAAATAAACCTGTCTGGTCAGTTGATTTTCAACAAAGGTACCAAGAAAATTCAATGGGGAAGTAAATCTTTCCAAGAAATGGTGCTGGAACAATTAGGTATCCACATGTAAACGAGTAGAGTTGGACCCCTTCTTTACATTACATTGTAACATTAACTCCACATGAATTTAAAACCTACAGTAAATGTAAAATTATGCTAAAATTATAAAACTCTTAGGAAAAAGCAGAGGAAATAAATTACTGTGTTCCTGGATTACGCACTAGTTTCCTAGATATGACACTCAAACACAACCAAATTTTTTAAAAAAAGTGTACTTATCAAGATTAAAATATTTTTGCGCTTCAGAGACCACCAAGAAAGTGAAAAGAACCCACAGAATGGGAGAAAATATTTTCAAATGATACATCTGACAAGAGACTTGTATCCAGAATATTTTAATAAAGAACTCCTACAACTCAATAATAAAGACAAATAAACCACTTAACAAATGGACAAAGAATTTGAACAGATATTTCTCCAAAGATAAATGGCCAATAAGCACATGAAAAGATATTCATCATTAGTTATCAGAAATGCAAATCAAAAGCACAATGAGATATCATTTCACACTCACTAAGTTGAGGATGTAAAAAAAATTGGAACTCTCAGACATCCTTGGTAGGAAATGGTACAGCCACTGGAAAAGTTTGGTAGTTCCTCAAAAATACAGTTCACATGTGACCCCGCAATTCCACTCCTAGGTATTAACTCAAAAGAATCGATAACATGTAGCTGCACAAAAACTTGCACTTGAATGTTCATAGCAGCATTATCCTTAATAGCCAAACATGGAAACAAACCCTAGCTGGTTTGGCTCAGTGGACAGAGCGTCGGCCTGCGGACTGAAATGTCCCAGGTTCGATTTTGGTCAGGGGCACACATCCCCGGGTTGCAGGCTCCATCCCCACTGTGGGGCGTGCAAGAGGCAGCTGATCAATGATTCTCCCTCCTCACTGATGTTTCTATCTCTCTCCCATCCTCTCTGAAACCAATACAAATATATTTGAAAACAAACATGGAAACAACACAAACAGCCAATTACTGATGAACAGGTAAACAAAATGTGGCATATATCCATTCGATGGACTACCATTCAGCAATAAAAAGAAATGAAGTACTGGTGCATACTACAACATAGATGAACTTGGAAAATCTACCCAGTTAAAGCCAGACACAAAAGGCTTCATATTATGATTCCATTTATATGACATGTCCAGTACAGTTCAATCTAGAGACAAAAAATAGATTAGAGGTTCCTTGGGGAGTGGGGAGAATATGGGCAGTGACTACTAATGTGCATAAGGTTTCTTTTGGGGGTGATGAAAATAATTGGGAATTACAGTTAATCAGCGCTGTGAATATACTAAAACTCACTGAACTGTATATGTTAAAATGGTGAATTTTATGGTATGTGAACTATATTTCAATTAAGGTTTTGTTTTTTAAAGTAATTATTGATGGAAGTAAAAATATAAACTACCAGTAACTCTAACAATGGAATGTATAATCCTTGGGGGGGTGGGGGGGGTGGCATTACAAGATTTTTTTTCTTTTCATAACTATGTAACCACAGAGCCTAAAATAATCCTTAACACCTATCAGGTGTTCATTGAATAACCATGAAAAAAAGCTAGAATTCAAAAATTTAAAAACAACAATACTTGGCACTTAATTAAATTATTTGTAGCTTTTTATGAGCACCTACCTTATCCAGACCTATAAAAGTCGCAACTCCAATATTTTGTCTTTTAAGGAAGTTGACACATTCTTGGGCTGTATCAATAGAGTCAACAACAATGTAGTCTAATGCCCGACAACAGGATGAAATAGCAACATCATATTTTTCATCAATTGCTCCTAAGTCCCCCTAATATAATAGGGGTGGGAGGAGAGAAATCAATGTATAATAAGCAAGGAATTAGGCACAGGATTATATAACTGTTCATAAAGATTTTGCAAACTACTCTTAATTGAAAAACTATACTTACACATGAATTTAAAAAGTACCAGAAGGGCATACAAAGAAAAATATGTCTTCCTGTCATTCAACTAATTTTTAATCTACCGTTTAAAAGGTCATGAATATACAGATTTTAAACTTTTAATGAAAGCATAAAATGAAAGAATTGCTTTCACTGCATAAAAATTAAAAACTGAGAATTTGAAACCTAAAAGTACTATGAGCAAAATAACTTAAAACTCTTAATTATTCAAAGCCATCTAAGATGATGAACATCCTAATGAAACACATTTGCCTACTTATCAATCTATAATAAATTAGCTACCAAGCAACATTCACTGATTAGCTTTATTTTTCCCTGACGCAAATGAATAGGATCAAATTGTGTATCTTTGAGAAAATAAGGTGGAAATCACTTAACATTTAGATAGGAAGCTACTATACTGGGTAATTTTCACTTGTGCTTGTGAATCATTCTCTTCCGCTTCCTTCTCTGGAATGCTGACTCAGGGATTACACCAACTGGCTCCTCTGGCTCTCTAGCTTTAGCTAATGTGAGGCACCAGCTAGAGAAACGGGCAGGGTAGGAGATGAATCAGGTTGAAATATAT